ACTACCCTAAATTATAATCCGTTTGGCGCTAATGGCCACTTATTCTAGTTTGGCTGCAGTGCCGAATATCTGTTGCTTCGATAGTGCGATCGCCTGGCCTGCGGTAACACATGCTGGGAAGTTATCCTTAAGTAACGTTGTCAGGTGACCTAAATTGTTATCTAGTGTTGAGAATTTTCCACGCAGTTCGTGTATAATTGAGCCTTGCAGGTCAATGACGACTAGAGCCGCTTCTAGCGCTATTTGAGTGCTAGCCCAGTAGCTGGTTTCAGCCACCTCATGTAGTATGGGGATTTCCCGCATGGGTAAAGTGTCCCCGTCGGAGCACTCAGAGAGCTTAGAATACATAGTTAAAAAGAAGTGGTACTAGTAAAATATAAATCGCAATGGAATAAGGTGGAATAGACTTAGTTTAGGGTGGCCACGTTTAAGGATATAAGCAAATATACAGAAAAACACTTATAAAACATGAAAAATCACAGAACAGGTTGCACAGGACTAAATATGGCCACGGCCAATCGAACGTCCAGAATTCCTTCGATAATATGCTCATTGAGTGGGCACCCAGCACTGCTGAAATAAAAATGAGAAATGAGATCTCATCTCACCAAGTTGGGGAGTGAATTGTTAGACGTGAGCGTTCCATTACGTGCACAAGTGAAAAAGGGAAATGGCCTCCTAAACAGTTGGCACACCTACACTGCCAGAGATGGGAATAGTTCTACCTATCGCTTGTCAAGTGCAGTCTTAAAGGCCTGCACTATTTGAAGGTCGATTATTTCTTGGGGAAGCCGGTTCCAGCTATCGACTATCCTATTACTGAAAAAGTGCTTTTGCATGTTTAGTCGACACCTTTGCTTCATGAGTTTGAACCCATGCCCCCTAGAGCCGTGTTGTGGAGCTAATGTGAAGAGATTTCAGTTCAGTTCAGTTCAGGTCCGATCAAGTCAGGTTGCACAGGACTGATAGTGGCCACAGACCAATCACGAGTCCAGAATTCCTTCGGTGGTATGCCCTCAAATGTGTGTCCACCTATGCGATTGATCGGTTTCTCCTTCTATCTGCAAACAGAGATAAAGAGACTTTAATTCTCGCCGTGTCGGCGAGAGGCCTTTGTTGTTGCAGCGTTCCATATCACGCAAAAATAATTTACGCACCTAACATTCTATGTCAGGGAGAACCTCCAACTATCTGGCGTCAAGAGCTTTTTTAAATGCCTGGAAACTTGACTGCATAATCAGTTCCGACGGTAGCTTATTCCAATTATCCACTACCCTATTGACAAAGAAATGTGCTCGTAAGTTCAGCCTAGAACGCTGTTTCATGAGTTTGAGCTCATGTCCACGCGTTCCTTGGTGAGGAGCCTCAGTGAAGAAGGACCCAGGATCTAGACCGAGCAAATTTTTCTTAATCTTGAATACTTCGATGAGGTCTCCACACAATCTCCTTTTTCCTAGTGAAAAAAGACCGAGCGCGTACAACCTCTCTTTGTATGTTTTCCCCCGCATACCTTCAACCATCCGTGTTGCTAGTCTCTGGACCCACTCCAGACAGGTTGCGTCCTTTTGTATAAGGACGACCAAGCCTGAACGCAGTATTCTAGGTGAGGCCTTACGATGGCTGTGTAGATGGGTATAAATGCATCTGCTTTTCTACACGAAACTGCTGATCTTATTCGAAACGGTTGTCGTCTTGCCGTGTGTGCTGCAGCTTCACATTGGGTACCCCAACTGTAATTTGCAGTCACTATGACTCCTAGATCCCTGGCACTAGTTACAGTGCCTACTTCGAACTGCCCCCAGTCCCCTAGAGCCTTCAATGGTTCCTTGGTTCTCGAGAGCAACTGGCTGTTTGCTACATTTAGTGGCAGATCCCATGTGTGAGACCACTGGACCACCTTCGCAATATCCCCTTCCAATTGTGATCTTCCACTAGATCCAACCACCTTTACATCATCAGCGAAGATGGAGCGAGGTGAGCTGGTTATTTCTGCTAGATCATTTATGAACAGCAGAAAAAGAAGCAGGCCTAACACCGACCCTTGTGGTACGCCACTAGTGACATGATGGACTGGTGACATTTGTTCTCCTACCCTGACACAGAATATCCTATTGGTCAAGAATGCTGCTATCCAGTTATATACTGTCCCTGTGATTTCGAAAATACTTAGCTTGTGTAGAAGCAATCTATGACTTACGGAATCGAAAGCCTTACTGAAATCTAGGTAACATGCCTCTACTTATCGACCTTCGTCGACCCTCTCTGTGACTTCGTCAAGGTAACATAAGAGGTTAGTCAGGCACGACCTGTTTTTCATAAAGCCATGCTAGGACACGCTAAGTAATGCATACTCCAAAAGGTGGATACAGACTTCAGTCCTGATTAGCTTTTCCATGCACTTGTATAGAACACGAGTTAGGCTAACTGGCCTGTAGTGCTGTGGGTTAGATCTACTACCACCTTTGTGCAATGCCACCACTACCGCAGTTTTCCAGTCACCCGGAAGCACATCCTCCTCCAGTGATTTTTGAAACAACACCTTTAAGGGGTCTGCTAAGATTTGGGTAATTGGTTTCACAATGGCAGGATATATGCCATCGGAACCCGGGGCCTTATTTATATCTAGCTCCCCTAACACTTTTTGCACATCAAGTGCGGATATCTGCACCTCTCTTATGCTCGGCGGAAGAGAGGTCGGGGAGCTAGGTTCTAATATCCTGCTGTCTAGCCTGTGAACACTCGCAAAATAGTTGCCTAATGCGACTGCCTTGCTGTGGTCGTCTGCCACAATCGTGTTATTTTCCAGAACCAAGGCACCTATGGCGTCCCTCAAGTTTCCTTTCGATTAAACGTGTCTGAAAAACCTTTTCGGTTTCTGCTTGACGTTTTCCGCTAAATTTAGTTCATATTTTCTCTTTTCTACTCTTATGAGACTGACTGTTCTTTTCCTTTGGACCGTATAGTTTGTCCACGCCAGCTGGGTGTTGACCTCTCTGTAGTGCATCCAGCATCTGTTTCTTTTCCTTAGTGCTCTCCTTTTTGCCGGAGACCATCATAGGGGCTTATTACAAGCTTTCCCTATTTTAGGTGTGAACTCATCTTGAAGTTCCTGTAGGTTACTTTTGATTCTATACCAGGGAGCCTCGACCGTAATCCGGTCATTTTTTGCTACCCATTCTAGAGTTAAGGTTCGTTCCTGCAGGCTACTCGTGTCCATTCTGCTGGAGTTCCTGATTTTCCGGCCAGGCGCTTTGGATTCCCTTGCATTGAGGGTCACTTTTACAACTGGGTGGTCACTCTTCTCCATAGGTGGGTGAAAAGAGATGTCTTCTACGTCTTTTTGGTATCTAGTAAACACCAAATCTAGGAGAGATAGATTTTGCCCATTCCTGAATCTGGATTGTTATCCCAAGGTCTTTGGCACACCTCTCTTGTTTCAGAGTATGTGCTTCTTGATTTGAAAGCATAAGCCGCAGGGGGACCAGGAGTATTTTTGCTTAAAACACAACATTTGATTGCGTTCAACGGCAGATCCCACCTTACCATCTACGTTGAAAGCCTGTCTAAGTTATCTTGTATTGGTTGACGACTGGATGAGCCGCCAACTATTTTGACGTCGTCTGCGTAGATAAGGCATGGATTTGCGACCTCATCGACAAGGTCGTTGATGGATACGAGAAAAAAGAGTGGTCCTATTATTGACCCTTGGGGGACACCACTGGTCGCTTTCCCTTCACTGGAGATCTTGGATCGTATTTTCACCTGGTATTTGCGTTCGTGAAGTAGACTGGCTATCCAGTTACATGCCTGGGTTAGAGCCCTTTTATATCCCTTGATTTAGGCGATAAGATCACGTGGTTAAACGAGTCGAATGCCTTTTGGAAGTGGAGGTAGCAAACTGCTTGTTACTTCGTCGCGAAATACAGAGAGGATGGTCAGACAGGATCGATCCTCGAGGAATCCGTGCTGTACCTTCGAAAAGAACTGCACGCCTTTTAGGCACTCTGCTAGCTTTTTTCTTATTATCCGCTTCATCACTTTGGAAACGATGCTGGTCAAGCCAATCGGTCGCTAGTTTTCCATACTAGCTGCATCCTCTTTCGTGTGAATGGGAGCTTTCGTTGCTCTGAGCCAACACTGCGTACAGATCATTTCTTACACGTGTTCATTCCAGTTCGGTTCAGTTTGCACATGATATAAAATGGTCATGGCCAATCGAGCGTCTGGAATTCCTTCAAAGTTATGCGGTAGTTCGTAACGTCCTGGTTGAAAGGGAAGAAATGGAAAGATGCCTCATCTCACCTCCAAGGCGAGAGATTGTTATTCGTGAGCGTTCGTCTTCCAGGCTACATCCCAATAAATGGCAGGACGAAACGAAAAGATACAACCTGAGTGTCCGGCTCCTACTGCTGGTTTTCTTAAGCCTCTAGATAGATGGTAAGACCTCCACCTCAGGAACGAGTTCAGACCACCGTTCATCCAAGGCCGTCTTGAACGCTAGCACGGTCTGCGGTTCTATTAGCTCCGCGGGTAGTCTGTTCCATATGTTGACTATCTTGTCGAAACAGTGTGACCGGGAGATCAATAGAGACCGACCTTTGGCTTGCTTCATTTCGTGCCCCCTTGTATAGGAATCTAGCGCTTCTTGAGACAGGCGGCCCTCTAAACAGGCGGCATCCTTTTTGAAGAAGGGCGATCATACCTGGACACAATACCCTGGGTGGGGCCTTACTATAGTCGGAGGTATGAATACCTCAGGTTTACGGCACTACAACGCTGACCTCAGTCTAAACAACTCACCCCTAGCTTTCTGCGCCGCTCTGGCACATTCATCCGACCACCTACCAAGATTCCTAGGTCTTTTACATTTTTCGTCAACTCTATAGTGAAGTAGCCTACCTCGTGGTCCACCGTGATATACTCTACAGCCCGCGCCAGCAGTTGGCTTTTGGCAGCATTTAGTGGCGAATCCCACTTGAGGGAGTTCATCTTCATCTTTATCTTTATGTGTAGAGGGCAGAGGGACTGAGGCCCCACATGAGCCTCTTTATCGCCGGTACTGATAACAACTCGCTGTCTGCGAATAGTCGCTGTATTTAATGTTGATTTTTCGAAAATCGTTCCCGACCAATGGTAACTCAGGGTGACATGACTCTATCTGTGTGTTGCTTCTCCATTGACATGTCTTAATCACAAACACTCCACATTATTCTTTATCTGTTGATTTGATGCTCGCGATATTTGAATTTGACGTGGTCAGAGAACGTGAGTGACTTGTTGACTCTCTCTGGACATCACATTTGGATCTCGCTTGCTTGAGTGCTTTTGGCCGCAAATTTGAGGTTTGC